TAGCTGACAGCTCACAAGGGGTGACCCCTCCCAAACAAAAGAAAATTATATCAGTACAGTCTCTGCACAGGCTGGGACAGCACTCCCTCTGCCCACCTGTGACTATGCAGGTGCCTCTTTTCACCAACTCTCCCGCTGCAGGGCAGTAGCCTCCCTGCCTGCCTGTGACCTGTCAAGGGCACCTGCCTGCAACCATGCCGGCCTCTCTTAGCAAAGCTGTCCTTTCTGGAGCAGCTTTTCCTGCCTGCTTGTGACCGTGCAAGTGTCTTTCACTGCTTTATCCCTTCCCCAATAAACCTTCCCTTTAAATACAACTAATGTCTCTGCCTTGTGGAGAAATTCTCCTGGGAAACTCGTGCGTGTTGCTGAAATGGGAGCTCTGGTGAAACTGTTCCCAGAGTGAACCCAGGGACCCCACACTCCAAACCCACAGACTCCAAAATCTACAACAGAAGGTACTATTTTTATTACATATTATCAGTTATTTATACATAATTTATAGAACTGTTAAAATTTGTGTCAGTTGTATATGCTACTTGAATAACTGTCATGCATCAATGTGTTGACGATGGAGATACAATTATGAATTACTCTTAAAGCCCACCCCCTGGAATTCCAGAATTCACTGGTGGAGACAAGCACATAAATACACTGTTACACTATAGAGCAAATTCTATTGTTAGGAAATTAATACAATTTTATGAGAGGTGTTAAATTAAAAATAGGTTTAGGAAGGGGAGATATTGAATTCAAGGAAGATTTCCATGAAATAGATAATTACTGTGTTGAGTCCAAAAGGACAATAAAAGTCTATTCCTGAGGAAAAAAGAAAAGGAGTGGCTTCTAATGGGCATATAGTAAATGCTCAGAGGCAAAAGACAACACGGGACACTTGGGAAACTATAATGATTGAGGTCTTCCACAGTGCATTTGATGAAGAATATGAGAGCCATACTCTGAGAAATCCTCCAAAGAATAAAGCAGGACTAGAATAGTGTGTTAGGCACATTAAGAAGTGTAAAGAAGCTGTCTGGATAAGACTAGAGGCAGACTAATTAATAAATTGGTCACATTATTTACAGTGAGTCAATGAACCTATGTAAGAATTGATATGAGAGATTGAAGTTGAGAACGGAACAAAGAATTTATATGAATCCAAGTTTTCTAGTCCAGTGCCTGTGTGAACAGTAGAATCACTGATGAAGTAGGATGGTTCCGCCGGAGGAGAAATAACAAGGACACCATTAATGGTGGTATAATTTGGAAATGTGCCTGGAACATTCAATGGAGATAACTGCATCTATAACTGGAGTACTAGAAAATAATGGATTGGATTATACATTTGAGAAAAGTCTAGAGAACAAGTTAAAACCATGAAAGTGCATAGAATTGTTCGAGGAGAATGTATAAAATAAGAATGGAAAAGATCTGAGGATAGATCCCAAGCTGAAAATGAAAGAGCAAGAGAATCCTGGGAATGTTTCTAATTACAGTCAGAAAATATCAAGTGGATAAATATCAAGAGAACTAGATGAAAAGGTTGCCAAAGGAAAACAGAATTTCAAGAACAAAGTAACAAAATGCCCAATGATAACAGTAGGAAAGAAGTCTTAAAACTATTGAGTGAATGCTATGGAGATTATCGGGAAAATTGAAGAGCATTTTCCAGATAGTAGTAATCACACACAAAAAATTATAATTTGAGCAACTAAAAGGAAGAAGAAAAGAAAGCAAAAATAGAGTCTTAAGGGCCTTGCCGGTGGCACAGGAGGGTTGAGCGCAGGGCTGTGAAGCTGTGCACAGCCTCTGCAGCATGGGTTTGATTCCCAGCCAGCCAGGGAGATTCCCACATGGCGCAGCAGACCCCTCCTGCCTCGCCCACTGCTCCCCTCAGCAGTGTATTTCAGTCAGTCTGACTGTTCTGTTCCCCACTCTGTCTCTGGTGGATCCTCTCAACCCCTGCATCTCTGGCCTGTACCCCAGTTCTTGTATAAATAAAATAAATCTTTTAAAAAATAGTCTTAATTTTAAATGTTATACAGGGACAGTATAGGTCTATAGATAGAGAATGGTTAAGATTCATTGCAGTCTTCCGGTGATTTTATCACATTTTATTTTCCATAGTTCTCTTTACCATTAATAACTTAGTTTTGAGATATATAACTGCTATACTGTAGTATCACAAATTTGTTTTGATTGTTCTGCTGTCATCACTTTGTTGTTGTTCAAGTTATGGGACTATGCTTGGAAAATGAATCTGCTCCCCAAAGCATTGATTGCATTCATTTAAGAAAGCAGTGCCTACAGGATGCAAGTGCATGTAAGCATTCCTGGAAAACAATGGAAGATGCCTGCAGAGTTTCAGGTAAAACAAGTTGTTTCAGATAAACTCATATTTTTTCTTGCCTGGATAAAAACAGGATTTGATTTTTTTTTTCGCTATTCTAGGAACTAGATGTTGCTATAAATGTTTTGCTCAAACTTGATACTCAAAGGATTCACCTGAAATTTAGTGACAAAAGTTTCTTAATTACTCAAGGACCCTAAATAATGACAATGCTGGCAAATTTATGCAAGTTTTAGATGATTTTTGCATATCTTACCATGTATAGTGGTACCATTATATACATGCTTTTGAGAAGCGTGACAACACTTTTAAGTAAGATGTTCTTTGGCTTATGCACTAAAATATCAATAATGAAAGAGAAAAAAAACGAAGATTCAAGGAACTGCTATTTATTTGTAAGTGTATAATGTACATCTTATACTTTTTTTTGCAATACACACTATTTTCCATCCAACTATATCAAGGTGAATGAAAATCTTTTCCTTTCTAACTTGTTCTGCATTCTAAACATTTGAGGGGAAGCCAAAGGGATAGAGAATGTGAAGATTGAAGAGTCACTATCATTTGTTTGAAGAAAACCAACCCTGAATACATAAATTCACCAAATACTGAATGAAAGAATTATAACAATACTTTCACAGAAAGGAAATAAACTGATTATTGGCACATTGACCTAAGATTAATGTGACAAAACACTTCAAAATATCACACTGTGCTATAATAACAAATTTTATCTACTTAATTGTGGACATTACTATAAAATCTTGCTAAACTTCTGGAATGTTAAGAAAATTCAAAAGCAAATATAATAATCTACTCTTTTCTGACTCGCTTTGTTTATCCATCCATTTCCTAGAGTCAATGCTGTACTGTTCATGACTCTGTCTTCATGAGTTTCTTCTAGCTCCCAAGTACTATAAGATAGAGTGTGTGGGGTTGAGGAGCAGCACCCTCTGGTAAATGGTGCCAATGTTCACCATCCCCACCAGCAGATCAACCACTGCCCCCCAGACATCATGTTTGATGTTGAAGAAAACAGAGAGATTCCCTTCTCTGTCTTCCCTTTAGGAAGCACATGGACTAGCCACACTGCCAAGGATATTATTGCTATCTAATCCAACATTCTTGTTACTGCCCAGGAAAAGAATTTCAAAGGCATAACTTGTTCAAAGTAACACAATAATTTTAAGATGAGAATAGAGGGCAATGACTTAAAAAATATTTTATTTGTTTTGATGATGAAGCTCCACAGCAAATTACATAAGGCAATTTAAAATGTGTTGTTAAAAGACTGCACTCACTGTGTCATGATTTATAACATTTATTTATGTCTATATAAATAGCAAGTCATTTGCAGTGAAGTGCAATAATATTAGCATAATTGTCCCATGTGGGAAGCTGAAATAGAAATATTGTCAAGTACACAGATGTAATGAATTCAAGTAGTTTTACTCAGAAAATGAATAAAAGAAAATGGTTGGGTAGATGAATATTACTTTTTAAATTAAAACAGAAAATGAAATATTGGTAATCATGAAAGATTCATTAGTCAATAATATTTACTTAGTGCTTTTTAAGTGCCAAGATCATTTCATTTCCCATGATAAATTTAGAACCACCTACACATCTCTTACTATAATCTTAAAAGGAAATATAAAGTAAGGCAGCAGATTAAGACAAAACAATTGGCTGAATAGAGAAAACCTGGTATTTTGCTTAAAAGCCACTTATATGTACGAACTGTAGCAATTCCAGTTATTCTTATTATAATAATGAATTACTCAGATTAGCACATTGGGTAGGGTGTTGCTCAAGAATTATATTCAGATAAATATCTGGAGTGTTATATGTTTGACTGTAAAATACAGATAACCTCTGCAAGATGAAGGATGTATCCAGCTGTAACTTGAGTATCCAGTCCTTCATGGAAAGCAATTTCCAATTTAAAGATTGTCTCTGCACTGATGACCTCTATTGTACTGTTAACAAATTGTTTGGGGAAAAGTGCATCAATGAATCAGGTAATGTGTTGTTATATGGGATATTTACAGTCATGAAAAAGAAAAAAACTTTGAAAATTATATTAACCTGTGCTATTTGATTAATTCTTGATATAAGTTAAGGTCCTGTAATCTGTCAATCTCATTAAGTACATAATAAATTTCTGTAACTGATAATCCACAATTTCAAGCTTCATTCAATTATAATTTTTGCCAACAGATTCACTCAGATTTGGAGACTCACTCAGTCAATACATATATCTGTGGGTTCACTGTGACATTTTTGCAAGACTTAAATGCTAGAAGACGAGTTGTCCTTCCTTTTGTTAAAGAATTCAGGTTATCCTGAGAAAGAGCAAAATATAGCCATTTACCAAAAATTATATTTGCTGTTGTATAGGAGCATTTAGTCATTTAACCTGCATTTATTTACTGCCTACCCAGGTTACCAGACTAATGCTAGATTTATGGTAGTCAAACTAGTCTGCATATATTCTTGAGGATACATAAAGATTTTCCAAGGGATAGGTGGGATAATGTAATTCTAAAGCAGTTGATTTCCAGATCCTTTGTATCCCTATGTCTTATCTCTAAAAACTATCTGCTATTGACCATTGACTAATTGTTAGTCATTATTAAACTTATAGAAGAGTCAGTGCTATCATCAGATTTGACTTCACAATCAAATATTACACAATGGCTCCCTCAGAGAGATGCATCATTACTGGTTGAACAAATGAGTGACTGTGTCTTCGCAACAAACATCTGCCAGGAATCTGAACAGTGCATGCTGTTGTATGAGGAGTTTAAGAAAAAGTGTGGGAGAGAATCAAAACAATGCAAGACACATGAAGGAAGCCACCTTTGTGTAGCATTAAGAGAAAGTCTGAAAGAAACGATCTTGTGGAATTGTCAATGCAATGACCCTTTGAAAGTAGGCTGCATTGAAATTTGGAAAAGTTTGTTTGAAGACATATGTGTACAAGATTCTCAAATAACTCAAGTTCCAGGCTTCAGTAAAGGGCATGAAGATAGATTCAACCAGAACATCATTTCAGGTTGGTACTTGAAAGAATAATTGAGTAACATTAAATATAATCAACACTATAAATTAAATATTTATTTATTTTAAGATTTATTTTTTATTTATACAAGAACCGGGGTACAGGCCAGATGCACTGGAGGGTGAGAAGATTTCACCAGAGACAGAGCGGGGAACAGAACAGGCAGAATGAGGAAATACACCGCTGAGGGGAGCAGCAGGCGAGATAGGAGAGGTCTGCTAGCCATGTGGGTTGCTCCGAGGCCGGCGGGGATGGAACTGGCACTGCAGAGGCTGCAGACAGCTCCACAGCACCGCACTCAACCGCCTGCGCCACCACGGAGGCCCTAAAGAATGTTTAATTTTTGATTTCAGCTTTGTCATTTCTGTCTGCATGTCTCCTAGGAAATTTAAATAATTTAGTTATTTTAATTATTAATTTCATTGAACACATATGTGTGAGTCATTTATAATGTGCTAGATCCTTTGCTGCAGGATTTAAAAAAAAAAAAAGCATTCCTTCATTCAAGGAACTTATTATTCTGGAGGGTATTTTTAAAAATTGAAGACATAAAATGTGGTGAGTTGATTATTTAATGGGTAATTTTTTGAGTGCCTACCACATCCTAGGCCATGTTCTAGGACCTGGGGACGATGTAGTAAACAATGCAAACAGAAATCACTGCTTTCTAGAAGCTTATATTCTAAATAGAGAGTTTTGAGTTAGTTTCTCTGGAATTAGACTCTGAGAAACAGGTTTGCATACAGAAAATGTGCTGGACTAACAGCTGACAATCAGGAGCTAGTAGGAAGTATAGGATAAGGTGGACAGAAAGTTGAAATCCAGTACAATTACTTCAGCAAACTTGGTTGATTCCACAGGACACTGGGGTCTGCAAAGATTTTTTGATAGATTTTACCCATTGAGGTAAGGGTGCTAGTTCCTTGAACACTTCATTTGGACTAGTCCTTAGGTGTGAACTGTTGTCTGCAAAAATCTGTAAATTTAGGAGTGGCAACTTCCTTTGGATGATAATGCCTAGAAAAGGACAAATTGTGATCCAGCAAGCAATGATACTCCAAACAGCTGAGAGTTGACTACCAGGATCACCAAAGAGGGGACCTCAGCAATGGACCCCAGAACTCAGTATAGGCACAAAGAAAGAATTAGCAGGACAAATGGCGTTAACGTATATATTTTAAGCAGTATTAGTGCTAAGGAGAAAAATGAAAAGGTCTGAATGGGTGTTTTGTAATTTTGATTGAATGGTCAGAAAGTTGCTCTAATGAAAGTATTGTGTGAGTAAAGTTTAAAAAAGGCAGGGGAATGAACCATGAAGACATCATGGGGAAAATACTTTAGGCAGAAGAAACAAGTTAGAGGTCCAAGCTAAGAATATGTTCTGAAAATTAAAGAGCAAAGAAAACGCTGTAGCTAGAGGTGAAAAAGCCAGGGAGAGGGGTCGGGGTTAAGATCAGAAATAAAACAAATCATGTGATCATGCAGGGCTTCATAGTCACTTAGAAACCTTTGGATCTTTTTCTGCATGATGTAAGAAACCACTGAAGGATTTTGGTTGGGGGAGTTTTATCCCTAGATTTATATCTTTAACAAAATAATTCCCATGCATGCATGAACAATTGAAGAGAAGCAAAACCCCAGGTTGCAAGACCAATTAGAAGGTTTTCATAGAGATACAACAAAAAGATGATTGATAATAGACCAAAATGCAAAGTTGTCAGATTCTGGATATATTTTAATATTAGTGAATCATGTAGGAATGCAAGAAAGAGAAAGGAATCAAAGTTGACTCCAGGGCTTTTGCTCTGAATGATTAGAAAGATATGGTTACCATTATTTTCATTAATTATATTGGGAATAGCTACAGGAAGAAGACTATCTGGTGGGACATGGAGGAAAGGTCAATAGTCAGCTTTGGATTCATTAAGTCTGAAATGTTTACTAGATAGCCAGGTAAAGTACACAGTTCTATGTATGGAATGGACATCTAAATTCTATGGATGAAATAGAGAAGTAATATCTGTGCAACAGGAGACAAATTGTGGGAGGAGGGGAGGTTATTTACTTACAGAAGGCAACTAAAAATATGGAACTAGGTAAGGTCAACAAAGAAATCCTTGGCATCTTGGACCACAGGCAGCAGAGAGAGAAGATATTAGAGTCTGGATATATTTTTTATTAATGGAGAAATAAAAGGAAACAGTATCCATTTTTTTGATGTATATGATTTTATAACTCAAATGTAGTTCTGATTGGGACATGCTTCTGCTTACCCCCAAGACATACTGCCCTTTAGTTCTTCCTCAGTAATTAAGCTACAGTTTAAAATATCCTCTGGAGGGGGTGGGGGTTGTAAATGTGTGACTACACTTATATTATGTGTGTGTATGTGTGTGTATATATATATATAATGCTATAATATCAGACTAATATATAGATAGTTTATTATTCAGTGATAATTTTGTGAATATGTTTTAGTCAGTGGCACTGCCATACCAATCAGTCCCAAAGCAGAGGTATTAATATGTAGTAAAGGGCATCCCTGGTGGAGCAGGGTTTAAAGACACAGCACTATGCAGCTATCACCAGCCACTGCAGCACAAGTTCAATCCCCAGCTGGCCAGGGAGCTATCCACTGCTCCCCTAAAGCAGTGTATTTCAGCAGATCTGCCTGTTCTGCTCCCTACTCTGTCTCTGGTGAATCCTCTCACCACCACCCTCTCTTTTATTTTTGTATGCAAAAATAAAAATCTGAAAAAAAGGTAGTAGAGAATGAAAAGCCACCATAGTGAGAATAGTTAGACCAATATAAAAAATCTAGAAAGACTCTAAACCTGGTAATAGAAATAAATTTCTTACAATTGTGCCTTCATATACATGCAGAAGATGGGCAAAGAATATAGAAGCACAAATGAGGACAAGTGGAATTGTGAAGAGACACATGTCATAATAGAAGTTAATATCCTAATCATTAGTCAAGGGCTAAAACTAAATTTTTATTTGAAAATGAAAATATGATCCTACTATTCCCCATCATATTGTGCCTATGTCTGTTGATGTCCTTTTATCTTACTTTGGTTTGCTTATATGTGTTTATTTCCTGCCAGACGGTGGTAGAAAATGACAGTCCCAATGACATGAGACTACAGATGCTCTCATCAGCTTGACATTTGGCTTATGAACCTAAGACTCAGCCAATACTGCATAAATGATTTTAGAAGTAGATGGCTATGGAGTACACATCCTTCAGTGAGGATCAACAATTCTGTAATTATAATTCCTAAAAACTCTAGGAGGCTAAGATAATCAGAGGTAGAAATAGTCTCTTTTTTTTTTTTTTAAAGATTTATTTATTTATTTATTTATTTATTTATTTATTTATTTATTTATACAAGCACTGGGTACAGTGAGAAGTGCAGGAGGGTGAGAGAATTCACCAGAGCCAGAGCAGGGAACAGAACAGGCAGACTGACGAAATACACTGTTGAGGGGAGCAGTGGGCGCGGCAGGATTGGTCTGTTGTGCCATGTGAGATCATTGCCGGTGGCCAGGGATCGAACTGGCGCTGCAGAGGCTGCGGGCAGCTTCGCAGCCCAGCGCTCAACCACTGTGCCACCAGGGAAGGCCCTAGAAATAGGGCCTTAAAATGCATTTCTATCTAATTAAGATCCAACAGGGAAGAACATTTTTTTCCTGTTCAGGCAATATTCCTCTTGGTCTTTCTCCCCAGAGAGGGTTTTTGTTTATGTCAGTGCACATAGCCTAGTCGTTAGCATTTGTTTAAATCTTCAAGAAACTGAATTCTTAGAGCAGATCTGTTTAACTGGAATGATATTTCAGAGATTTATTTTTCTTCATACCTCACTAATTTTGTATATCAAGAGTTAAATAAGTGTTGCATGAGCTTGTATGCATTTTTGCTTGGTTACTCATTTATAAATATAGCCCTATTCTCATTTAAGAAAAATGTTCACTTAATAAAATAGTCTCTTTGTTTTCCTTCTAGATAACATGAAAGAGGATAATAAATTCAAGTGGAATCTAAGTACTCTTTCCTATCATGGTAATGTTTAAAAATTGTCATAGACACTAGACAATGTAATTTTAAATGTAGTTACTAGACTTCTTAACCATAGACTAATAGATAATTTAGTGGCTTTGTAATGGTTCTGGTATTACAAAATTCAACAAAACCATTGCATTTCTTCCATTAATGTATCAAAGCGACTGCTTTGCCCATTCATCATGTATTTATGGATATGTGAAAACTATACTTAAGATTTCCCCAATGCAAAAGCACAATAGAACAAGAATCATTTTGATTCAAGCCAATGAACTCACCATAAGTTATATAGCTTAGATGTGATTTCTGAAGATTTATTGTTTACATTTGAGAAACATGAACTCAAGAATTTTTCCTTCAGCTCAGTTTGGCCCCACATACTCCCATCATTTATGGATCACAAAACATATTCCATATAGATGAAAGATGATTCAAATAGCCCACTATTCAGGTCTCAGTAAATTTATACTTATTCTAAAAAAAAAAAAAAGTAATGCTTGCCAAAAATAGCACATTGATACATCATTTTACTTAGCTCATGGACTTTAAATAGTGTTTTTCAGATTCTCTATGTCCAGCTTATATTTACTCTTCATGATGGGTATGCCATTGTTTTCAGAAACCAAAGGGATCCAGTCCTGTTTGGAAGTGACAGAGGCGTGCGTAGGGGATGTGGTCTGTAATGCTCAGTTGGCCCCCTACCTTAAAGCTTGCTCAGCAAATGGAAATCTGTGTGATGTGAAACACTGCCAAGCAGCCATACGGTTCTTCTATCAAAACATGCCTTTTAACATTGCCCAGATGTTGGCTTTCTGTGACTGTGCTCAATCTGATATACCTTGTCAACAGTCCAAAGAAGCTCTTCACAGCAAGCCATGTGCAGTGAACATAGTTCCACCCCCTACTTGCCTCCATGTAATTCACAGCTGCCGACATGATGAATTATGCAGGTGAGTAAAAACACACATACCTTACTTTCTTATTTCGGCACCTTATTTGTTACAGTCCAGTTCTAACACTTGATCCCATTACATTAGCTAGAGTTCCCACCATCATCCAGCATGATGTAAACAGGGCCAGACAATTCAGATATTTGAATCTGTCGTGCATGTGTTATATAATTTTTGAAATTCTAGTGTAGGATGTATTTTGGAATAAAAATATTGCAGTATATCAGAGTTAGGGTATCATTAAAACTATATATTCAAGTTAGAGTAATGAACTGGTTAATAGGCCTGACATGTCACCATTGGATTATTTGGTATGATGACATTAGACTGATAAAGTCATAGAATTTTGACAAACTTCAGCATAAACCCTTTCTGCCTTAGGCTGGAGACTAGGAAGGAGAAGACAGTATTAGTACCTTTTCATTTAAAAGATTTATTTATTTATTTATACAAGAATTGGGGTACAGGCCAGATGCACTGGAGGGTGAGAAGATTCACCAGAGACAGAGCGGAAATAGAACAGGCAGACTGATGAAATACACTACTAAGGGGAGCAGCGGGCATGACAGGAGAGGGCTGCCACGTCATGTGGGACCCTTGCCGGCTGGCTGGGATCCAACTGGTGCTGCAGAGACTGCAAGCAGCTTCACAGCGCGGCTCTCAACTGCCTGCGCCACCAGGGGAGGCCCAGTATTAATACCTTTTGGACATCCCCAGCACACATGCCTGCCTTGATGCACAAACATACCCATTCTCCTCCTCCTAATTTCATACCTTAAAGGAATGGTATTAGTCATTTATTTGATTATCTAAATTAAATGTATCAATTTGCTCTACTCCTCTAGGCATCAGTATGCAAGAAACAAAAATGCTTGTGCCCTGGAGTTCATACTCTAATGACGTTAGCCAGATAATAAGTCAGGAAAATGTGTATTATATTTTAAGGTGATGAGTGCTTTGGAGATAAACACACACACACCCCCAACAAAATAAAGAAATTGAATGGCAGAAAGAGTTGCAATGCAAATAGGGTGGTCCCAGTAGGGAGCATTTTATCAGACTTGAAGAAGTGAGGGAATGAGGCTTTTTCAGGAACTATCTGAAAGAAGAATATCAGGCAAACAAACCAGCCAATTCTGAGGAGGAAATATGCTTGGCATGTTAGAAAAACAAGTAGAGTGTACAAGGGGAAGAGCAATCAGAGATGTAGTTACAGATTTAACTGGATGGGTTCCCAGCAGGTCTCGATCCTTTAGGGATACTAAAATTTTCATTTTTACTCCAAGTGCAAAGCACAGGTACTTGTGGATTTTTGAGCAGAGGTAGGAATGATCTGGCTCACTTATTACAACTTCCACTTTGATTGTTAAGACTAGACTATACTTTCACAGGTAATTCCACTCATAAATCATAAATCTAATCCAAAATTCTGGATTTTCTTTTCCGCAGTACAGTTTTCATTAACACACTGCCTTATATATTCAAGATAAACTTATCTTTTTTTTGTGGTAAGAAATCCAAAGTTGAGCGAGTCTCTTTGGACTAGAGTAATAAGGTAGAGGAAAGAGTAGGAATACTAAATAAATTTGATGAATCAAAACTCTGTGTCACATTGAGTTTGCCATGTTAAAGGAACTTAACCAACATAGAATTGTATAATCTTTGGATTCATATTTTACTTCTTTGGGAGTTAATTCTTATATTAATTTTTTGCTCAGTGCCTTCTATCAGGGACTGTTTCATTCAATGTTATTTAAATGAATAACATTCATATATAGCAAATTCACTTAAAGATTAAAATAAACATTTAGTGTGGAGGAGTAGATTTGTATGTGATAACTCAAAGCAAGGTTTGTCATATGTTTCTCGCTTCCCTACACTTTTATCTTGCAGTTAATTTTTATAATGTTTTGATGTACATACACACACATACACACACACACACACAACTCTTACATAATTTCTGTGTTTCAGAGATTAGTTCCATGAGCAAGCACATGGGCGTCTTTGATTTCTTTTATCACTACAAATAATCTCTTCAGGACTACTTTGTGTAATAGAAATATTATGCAATATTTGAAGTCATGATACAAATGTAATTCCTGTCATTTTCTCAAGCAAATTTTTCCTTAGGAAGATTTCTGGCATTTGTGTTATTTTAATGTAATTCAAATAGAAAAAAATTCTTCAAGTGTAAAACAACTACTTCAGTAACTTTTAAGGCCTTGTCACTTACCATTTTTGCAGCAGAGTCTGTGCATAGGACAAAGCAAGGCACTTGAGCTTTGAAATAAAATTTCTGTCCATGTTCCAGATTTCTCAATTCATGATATGTTTTAAGACTCTTTTATTTAATTGAAAAGGCCAAGAAGGCAATATAATTTCCATTTTCAACTGTGTTCAACACAAATACACCCTGGGTGATGAGATTATATTTGGTCATTATAAATGTTTAAGAACTTAAAGAAAATGATAATACATCAGAGTTCCTTACATATGAGCTCAAGAAAATGTGAAGAAAGCTATTTACTTAAAAAACAGTTCTATCTTTAAAAATGAAAGTCTACAATATGTACATTTAATTATCATTTAATATTTATAAAGTTTGACTACATATTAGATCACAAAGGAAAATATAAATCATTACGTGAGCAGAGTTATACAGAGTGCATTCTCCTACATTTTGTTATGTAACTTTTAATTAATAGCAAAAAATGTTAAGCAAAATGATCCATTAAAAATAATTGCTCTTTTATTCATTTGCTTGAGTAATAAATCAAAATTTAAAATTGCGGGATAATAAGAAAATAGGAATGGCAAAATCATAATTATCAAAACATTTCAAGTACAAAACATAAATCTATATAAAAGTTAAAATTTTTTTAGCTTTTTAAATTTTAAAAAGTTCAATTTTAAAATCAAGTCATAATTTTAACTTCAAATGATTTGGATAACTAGTATGTCAAAGTACTTTTATGACATTTTAATATTTAATTTTATCTCCTTTGGTTCTTCATTTTTGAAAAATTTTACCACTACTTTTCTGAATGAAATGACTTATATGAGCAGGAAATAAATCATGCAACTTAAATGTAGCTAAACATATTTTTTAAAAGAATAAATGAAATCTCAATCTAAATGAACACTCACATGTAGGTGAAACATGTATATCCCTTAAACATTATGTATATCCCTTGCATTAAAGGAACATAATTCGTTCTGGTCTCAAAATCATATACTCAAAAATGTAGTACTTCATTAAATAAACATTTTTAAATTAATACTTGACATTGTATTAAAAATTATTCCTTGAAGATAATTTAAATATGAACTATTAAAATTAATGTGGATTTTCATTTTAAACAAAATAAAATCATGAGAAGGAACAAGCTTGTGATAAATGGATATATCGGGTTTTTCATGCATGTTTGATGGTAACCTATTCAAGGAAAAGGTAAAACATAATTTTAAGTGATAAATATTAATAAGGAAGCATAATGTCTGGCTTCTCTGAGAATATCTTCTTAATGTGAATATTTCAAAAATGAAACTATTGTACATTATCCAGATGTTTATTCAAAGCTAATAAAAAAGAATCAAAGACATGCTCAGAAAAGTCATGAATGGATGTGAATCTAGTAGATTATCCTGGTTATTAGGTGAACTCATAATGATTTGCTTTAAATTAGCTGTTGCTGCCAGAGAAACTCAAATCATTGAGTAAATTTTAGTAAGTCTGCTTAGCAATGCTGAGAAAGAACAGCACACCCCTGTCCTGTAGGAATACTGGCTCCAATAGTCAAGAGCATTATCTGAAATCACTTGGTGTGAGACAATAGGTAAATGCTAGCCAACTATTGGTCACAAAAGCACATACCGTTTCAAAAATATTGCTAAGAAATCTCCTAAGTAGTTCATACTGCAAATCATCACTCATTGAAATAAAATAGCAATGAAGAAAAAAAATCAGACAGGGAATCCTAAATGAAGCCAATGCCTTTTATCACAAAAGGAAAATAATCCACATGGTTTCACTAATTTTTCTTCCACACTCTTTTGGGATGTTTGGATATACAAATTTAATCTTCAGGTCTGTAACAACAGCTAGACGTCATTTGGTTTCATGCAGTCTTTCATTGGGTAGGGCAGCAACAAATACTAATAAGAAATAATATTATTCACAGATTAATTCCATTTTAATTATTCTAGGAAACGCTATAAAACATTTCTGTCAAAATGTTGGCAGAATGTCACTAGCAGGTGCCAGGAAGATGAGACCTGCATCGGTTCCTTCAACAGGCAGGACCTCACTTGTTCGGGAAGTGATGACTGCAAAGCTGCTTATATTGGTACCTTGGGGACAGTCCTTCAAATGCAGTGCACCTGTAGGCCTGTTGCCCAAAGTGAAGAATCTCTGTGCCATATTTTTCAGCACCTGCTTCATAGTGGATCCTGTTTCGGTAAGTTCACCAAAGCAACTCGATGCTTACAATTTTTTTTTAAAGATTTTTTTTTTATTTATGCATACAAGAGCCCGGGCACAGGCCAGTGATGCAGGGGGGTGAGAGAATTCACCAGAAACAGAGTCGGGAACAGAACAGGGAGACTGACTGAAATACATTGCTGGGGGAAGCAGCGAGCGAGACAGGAGAGGTCTGCTGTGCCATGTGGGTTGCTCCCTGTTTGGCCAGGCATCAAACTTTTGCTGCAGAGGCTGTGGATTGCTTCATTCATAGTGCAGTGCTTAACCCCTTGTGCCACCAGGGAGGCTCCTACAATTGCTTTTTAAAATCTGGTTTCTGGCTATATTTTATGCATTTGCTGCTTTGCTTTCTTATTAGCAAGCAGTGCATGTTTTTAATTTATATGATTGATTACTCTTAGTTGTAATTCATTGAGTTCAGTATCAGTGGCATAATGGGATTATCCTACCAGATAACAGAATGTATTAGGTAGCCATTGTGAGTATACCGCCACGTCAAAAATTAAAGGCTTGAAATAACCATTTATTTTCTCACAATACTGCACATTAGATTTGGCTCAGTTGGGTGATTCATCTGACGGTCTTGCCTGGGGTCTCTCATGTTGCTGCAGTCATCTGATGGCACAACTGCAACTGGGTGGTCCAAGATGGGGTTCAGCAAGTGCCATTGGCTGGTAATGCACAATTCTTCTCAATGCAGCCTCTTCAGCAGCACACACTGGGACTCTTACATGGTAACAACAGCATTCCTAGAAGCCAAGCAGCAATGCATAAGTATTTTTCAAGTGCTTCTTCTGTTACATTTGCTAACCTCTCTCTAGACAAAGCAAGTCACAAGGCCAAGTTCAGAGTCACTGTGGGAAGGGGCCATACAAGGATGTGTTTATTCGAGGTAGGATGTTCACAGGGACGATAATGTAACAACCTAGTCTATACCTGTCCTGACTTACATAAAGCATTTTATCCTTGGTTTCCTTCCCTTGGTCCTTAGTAAGTCTGCTGATCTACCTGAAATGATGGAATGGAAAATGCATTTTCTGAAATTATTATTTTTTAAATATTTATTTATTTATACATACAATATCTGGGGTACAGGCCAGAAATATGGGGGGTGAGAGGATTCAGAGAGCAGAACAGAGACAGAGTAGGGAGCAGAACAGGCAGATCGACTGAAATACACTGCTGAGGGGAGCAGCGGGGAGACAGGAGAGGTCTGCTGCTCCATATTGGTCACCTCCCTGTCAGGGGATTGAAGTCATGCTGCAGTGACTGTGGATTGCTTCATAGGGCCGCGTCTTAACCCCTTGTGCCACCAGGGAGGCCCTGAAAATACTATTTTTTCTATTTTAAGAATAAGATAACTGAGCTTTAGGAATTTAAATAATTTATGCAGAATCTCAAAGTAAGCAAGTAGTAGAAGGGATTTGTCTGTGAGTCTTGTAGAAAAATCTATGCTCATACACTATTTCAAGACCTCTCCACTTTCCATCTTTACCATTAGTTTGTTAAATTATCCAAGTACCAAAACATCTTGGGGTCCATAGGTCCTTAGTTGCTTTATGTATTTATTTTTATTGAAATACTATTATTTCACATCCTTGTTCTTTTTTTTTACAATAAAGAATTTTTCCCTCAGATATGGTCACTGTAGTTCTCCTACCACCAAATCACCCATAATCCTCCACCATAGTCTGTTGTATTTACTCCACCCCTTTTTTTCTCTCCTCCCCTTCTCATATTATGCTGGATGCTCTAGATCTATGGTCAGTTTTCAAGGGCTCGTTTTAAGCTTTGTCTTTGTGTACTCTTTTGTTCGGTTTCTCTATATTTCACATATAAGTGAACTATGAATATTGGTATTTAGCTTTCTCCTTCTGGCTTATTTCATTTAGGGTAATCCCTTCCAGTTCCATCCATATTGTCACAAATGACATGAGTTTATCTTTGTTTGAAGCAGCAGCACTATTTACAATCACCAAAATATGAAAACAACCAAAATGGTCCAGGATAGACGAGTGGATCAATAAGATGTAGTACATACATACAATGGAATACTACTCAACAATCAAAGGAGATAGGCCCTTACTTATGATTACCAAACTTGTAGACACTGTTCCCAAAAAGAAACAATAGGGGTTTACTGCTTCATCACAATCAAATTTTTGTATTTATGAAAAATGTCTGACACACACACATATGTATATATCTTTAGTCTTTTCCTGTTTTTAATGTATTTTTATTGAAATAATATTGGTTTATATTAATGTGTGTGAATCAGAGATACAAGTTCACACCTCTTTAGATGTATAATACCATGCCACACCCACCAACAAGTACCCGTAGTCCACTGGGCACGCTTTCTGGTTTATATCTCTAGCTATTGAACTATATACAGATAAACACATTTAATTATTTATAAATTCTAAAGAGATACACATTAACCCATGACCTAACTTGTGATTTGTCATGTATTCAGTAATAAACAGAGTTTATGGTTTTGATTCAAACAGAACACTCTGCTGAATTTCCATAATGCTATAATTAACACTACACATATATTTTAATTGAAATCATGATAGAAGAGGAAAAATGGAGCATTATCTATGTTGAGTCATATCTGTATATAACTTCCTTTCTGCTTAATATTAGATGGCTCATTCTGTTGAAACTAAAGGTAGATATAATAAAAGACTCATAATAGTACAGCATTATAGAAGGAAATCGCTAATAAAATAAACCAACAGCAATATATACCTTTACAATATTATGGTTATTTATAAGTGGTTTCTCCATACTAAATGGTATCTAGGCAAAAAGCAAAAAAGTAGATTCTATAGTTTAGTAATAATTCAGTTTCTTGGGAATAAATTCTCTAAAAATATCAGTCCAAGGAATATAATTCTAGTGCCAAGCCTGTTTTTTTCCTATGCATTTTAAATTATTATTATGTTTTATTTTCATAGTGTTGGGCTACTATAACAGAGCCTATAGTATAACAATAACTGTATCAGAACACAAAAAAATTATTGAGGGAGAAATAGTAGCAATAGAATTTAAAAAATCATAAAAATTGGTGTACTGTGTAATATTTTAGAAAAACAAAACTAGTTCAATTTTCTTCACTCACCTATTAAGAAAAAAACCTTATGAGGTTTTCTCTTTAAACATTACTTACTAAAAGTAGGCATTTCAAGAGACAGGTTTATAGAATTAAAGGAAAAAAAATAAATATTGGATGGTTTCACTTCTAATTAGAATATAGAAAAACTGAATAAAAGGCCAAGAAAAAGAAAAAATTAGCAAGTTGACCATACATCTGAGGCATACAGTAGGGCAGGGTGGAAGGTCAAACAGGGAGGGAAGAGCACAAGGGACAATGGTGATGGTTCACAGGTGATGTGGTGGTGGTAGAACTACGGGGTGTACACCCGAGGGCAGAAACCAGTTACTGTACAAACCTGAGCAATGACACACCATGGAGCCTGCAACCTCCAGGCATTTCTTTATACCCTCCTCCTGCTGAATGAGGAGTAACTCTCCTCTTTGCATTCTGTTGGTCTCTCAAGTCCAAGAGGTTTTCTGGGTTGGCCTCAAACCACAGGATTCTTGGGGTGTAGGGTTCTCTACTTAACTGTACCCTGTTCCTCTAAGATAGGAAAAAACCACTCTGCCACTATCTCTGTGATCTCTGTCAAGGAGGGAAAATTTTAAGATCTATTTTTATTATTTATGCATACAAGAACTGGGGAATAGGCCGGAGGTGGGGGGTGGTGAAAGGATTCACCAGAGACAGAGTAGAGAGCAGAACAGGCAGATTGAAATACATTGCTGAGGGGAGCAGCAGGCGATTCAGGACTGATCTGCTATGCCATGTGGGCCAGCTCCCTGGCCAGGGATTGAAATGCTGCAGTGGCTGTGGACAGCTTCATAATGCTGAGACTTAACCCCTTGAGCCACCAGGGAGGCCCTCAACTGGATATTTTCATTGCCATTTAAAAATATTTGTTGTTAAAGTGATTAATACTAAAGAAATTTTGTAATGTAAATATAATATGTGAAATTGTGGTATTTGCCATTCAAGCTAAGAAATAGAATATTACCATATTTTTGAAGTCTTTTTTAAGATTTATTTATTCATACATCGAAAAATTGGGTGTAGGCCGGAGGTGTGGGGAGGAGGTAAGAGGATTCACCAGACACAGAGTGGGGAGCAGAACAGGCCGATCTACTGAAATACACTGCTAAGGGGAGCAGCAGGCGAGATAGGAGAGGTCTGTTGCACCTTATGTGGGTTAGCACCCTGGAAGGGATTGAACTCAGGCTGCAGCAGTGGAAGCATGATAGCATTGAGACTTAACCCCTATGCCACTATGGATACCCTTTTTGAAGATTTTTTAAGTGACCTTCCATATCATATTATTTGTTCTACTAACACAATTCACCAACCATACACTCCCTGTCACACATGTCTATGATATTTTCTGGGGTAGCAGTTCTCCATCTTTACTAAAGATAAGAATAACCAAGAGATTAAAATTTCTTATTCCCAATGAAATAATAAAATTATTATAAGGAGACAGGACTTAGGTGTCAGGGTACCAACCAGCAGGTTCTGGCCAGTGCTGTCACATCGAGCTCAGTGCACAGAAGCACCCAGAGCTTCTGGCTTCATGTTCTTCAGTGATCACCAAGATAGTGGCAGAGGTCATTCCTTACTTACAGATTAATTCCTAACTTCAATATTAATTTATCTTTAAGTTTGTGTTTGTAAATGATGTCCAGTAGAGTTTATGTGGGGAGCTTGGAGTCTCAATGCATATGCATTCCTGCTTCCTGCCATTTCCCTGGGACAGGTGCATACTCAGCTCCCTACCCTACCTTTGATGCTCACCACCTGTCCACTCCCCCACCCTGCAACCACGAGCAGACATCTGTCTTAATTTTTAAATGACATTGCACCTTCTAATACATGGGTGT